GCTTTCAATCATTGCAAAGAGAGTGCACAGGGGAACACTGAACCATCTGGCTTGCTTTAGTGTGTTAAATAAGATGGTGATCTTTGGATCACCATGAATTGTCAGTGCCGTTAGAAAGCAAAATGCTCATTTTATTTTTGTTTTTTTAGGGGAAATACTGAGCTTCAAAATTTAACGTTTTAATAACCCAACTTAAGTGTCTGTGATTATTTAAATGTGATGAGGTGTGATCTTAGTGCTGCAGCAAATAAAGACGCCTCTGTATACAAATAAATGATCCCATAAATCGCAGGTATATGATTTAGACACACTGTGCAGCCACTTTAAGTCTGAAGTATGGGTGTGATTACTGCCGCAAGAGTACCATCAGTCCATCTTGTGCTGGGTCTGCCCGTTTCATTCGGCTACATTTAACATGTAGGATTTAAATTAATATGAAATTAGGAAATTTAATAAATATATATATATATTTGGAGCTAAAAGCATCTCTAATGTGATCACATACATTAAACTTAAAGGTAATGTGTAAAAACCTTTTGCCCTTTTTTCTTTCACATTTACTTTTACAGTATATTAGCATTCACAAACATTAAATAATGGCACAAGTAAATAAAAGGTTGCATATTTCCCACTGCCTTTCTGGCCAGAGTTTGAAACCAAAAGCTAATGTTAACAGGGTGTTTTAGTTAAACCCTGTAAATGATAGTCATCAAGCTCTACAATGAATATAGAAATGTATACTTAATGCATACTAATATTAAATGTACACCCTACACCCTTCTTGAATTTTTTATACACTATTTTGTTTTCTTTTTAGTATCAACATATTTTTTGGTGATATCTTGTTGATATTATCCGTGTGTGGCATAACTGCTGCTGTGAACCTGCAATTTTCTGCAAAATACCTACCTACCTAACCACCCATCCATCTATCTATCCATCTATTTATCCATCAATAACGTTTTGCGTGTCCTCATGCATTATGTGTTGGCTCTACTACCAATCCAAATTTTAGCTCAATATCAACAGATGACTAAATTAAAAACATTTTGCTTTGGCTAATGATGATAAGCTATAGTCATATTAAATTAGGTTGACTTCTAATTATCATTTTCTGAAAGTTTCATTAAACTCCATCCAGTCGTTCATCAGGTAATTTGCTAACATGACAGCCAAACAAACACACACACACACACACACACACACACACACACACACACACACACACAC